CCACCGGGGGAGGGGCAGCCCGCACCCCCGCCCCGCTGCCCGGCCCTGCCGGCCGCGCCTCCCGGAGAAAGGAAGCCGGGAGCGCGGGCGGAGCGGGCGGGGGTACTTAAAGGGGCCGCGCTCCCGCAGCGTCACCGCAAACCCGGCGCCCACCCAGGCTTCGAGGCCGTATGAGTCACACCCTCGCAGCCCCATGCCTTCCACTTTGGGGCGGAAGGTGACTTAAGACGGTGAACTGGGTTGGTTAGTGGACAGAGAAGGCTGGCTCGCCCCTCTCAGGTTAAAATCCGGTGTGCATTGTGCTGGGCCCTCATGTGCCCACACCTGTGTATCAGAATGTGTGTGGAGGGTGTCACAGTCATGCATACTACACTGCTTCATTCTCCCAACCCCAATATGGACGCCCAAGTGCAGGAGTGGTCATCAGTGTATATCCCTGCCTCCGGGCTAAAAATACTTACATTCTTCCCTCCTGGCTTCCATCAAGAAAGGAAAGAGGCCTATGAAGAGGTGACCAGTGTACCTGTGTGCAGTACCATCCATTTGTCATACAAATCACAGGTCATACAAACCCTTACCAGTGGTGGTGTGTCTAGCATGTGTGCATACAGTATTCAGGGACCGGTTTTTGTGATCCTGGTTTTTCCTGGACCTAACGAGGCGTCATGGAAGGCCAGGGTGGAGGGATACAGCCAGCAGAGGCAAGATCGCACGTGGGCGCCATCCTACACTGAGCATGCTTCCTATACACGTGTGCCTCGCGTGCACCCTGCCCCTAGCCCCACCTGGGCAAAAGGCCAAGGCCCTCTGCTTGTCGGGAGAGGGTTGGGGTACTCAACTAAACCAGGAAGAAGAAAAAAAAAAACAACCCAAAACACACCACAACAAAAAAACCACCCCAAATCTGGGAGCAGGATAATGGTAACATGGTTAAAGGAGAGCTTTGGCTAGGAATTCTGCTTTATTACAGGAGGGAATGTAACACCCTTTGGGCAAGGGTGACCAAATCGGTCAACTTATCACAGTGGTGCCAGAGCAGCAGTGACTGGTGGGTGGGCAAGCTGCTTCCCTGGGGGAGACAAGTAATGCTTATGAGTCACAATACCCGAAATACACGCAAAGCTGCCTCCATCGCCTTTTGCTGCAGCCTGGATTGACAAGTTTGTTTGAAATTGTGATCCACGGGTATATTTATAATCGCACCTTAAAAAAAAAACCCAACACTAACATACACACACACACACACACCCCTCAGCAGGCTTACCTCCCCCTACAGCCAGGCGCTCAGCTGCTGGGGTTGTTTGCAAGAGGGCTGCGGTGTTCGGGGAGGGGGCACCACCTGCCGCCCTATGCTGTATCTGTGTAGAGGGGCATACAGGTTGAATGGCCCCAGCTCAGGAGATGGGAAGAGCTGCCTGGCCTCCGGGATCCGGAGCGCAGCCCACTGCCAGCCACACCAGTTCACCCCCGATCAACCCCCAGCTAAGAAATTTCATTAATTAAATGTTGAGGCGGCTCCTGGCAGCCAGGCCGCTTGGCTGTCTTTGTTTCTCCGCTGTGTGGGCGCGTTTCGAGCACGTGGCAGGCAGAGCACGCAGGCCGGAGGGAAAGCGACCTCAGTTTAGCATCCGCGGCTGCCTAGCAAGAGGAATCAGCTGCCCAGGGGTCAGCCCCCACCTCCTGCCTCAGGCGGACATCTTCCTTTGGCTCCAGAGCTTTGCACTTTAAAAAAGAATGATTCACTTAGTTTCCTGCCCCATCTCTAGGTGGGGCAGGAAGCATCCCTTGGCAGTGGTCAAAGCACCCGTCCACTCCCCGAAGTTTGTTCTGTATGGGCCCCAGCCTCTCAAACAGCCTACTTTATGGACTTAGGGCTGGGAATAGAAGGGTTTCTAGATTTCTTTCTGGAGAAGTCGCCACCACCGGAAACAGGAGAGCTAAAAGGAAGTCAGACACAAGGTTTTAAAACAGTTTAATCAGGAAATGTACAGGAATCCTTTCAGCCACTCTTAGCCGCCCCTCCTCCGCGGCCTGCCTCCCTTCCTAACTCTACACCTACGACACTCTGCTGACCCCTCGTGGTATAGATGGGCAGAGACGCCAATTGGCTCCTCCCAGGCTGGAGAAACTGGCCAGGCACTGGTCGCCTCTCTCATCCCTTCCTTCATTGGGGTCTGGCGCGACAGTGTGGAGGAGGGAAAAGAGACCGCACAAAAACCTCAAAGAGACGCAAAGAGTTTGCAAGCATTTGTTGGCACCTCCCACACAAACACATCTTAGATTGTTGTGCTTGGAAGGGGGAATGTGGAATCCCTTATTTCTGCCTTGTTCTAAGGTGGGCTCAAAAAGGCATCGTGCCTGGTCCTGCCACCTGCCATAGTCGGTCTCATTGGTGGGGAGAGGCGTCGTTTCGAGGTCGTTACTATCCTTATCCCACCCAAGGAGGGAGTATTCAGATCCTTATTTTAGAGATGAGTGACTACGGAAACGCAAGAAAATGAAGCAATTTGCACAGAATTAGTAAGGATTCTGAATTTGAGCTCAAGTCTTTCTGGCATTACTCCTCCACCCAGAAGTGGAGCAAGCCTCCATCTCCTTCCAGCCTTTATTGTGCAGCCCCAGAGGCCAGTTCCACACTCACCTTCTGCTGGGCCTGCTCTCGAAGGGCCTCTCTGCCCTGGGCCAAAGGGGGAGACAGCCCTGGAATCAGTCATTTTCTCTTCTGAGGAGTCCTTGAAGGGTGGGGGGGGGGGAGGCTGGAAGCTGCCACCTGCTGCTTCCTTTGCCCAACTCCACTGTAGTCCTAGTTGGTTGGTGGGGATTAGCTGTTCTGCTCACCTTGAATGGACATTCTCTTTCCAACATCAAGTGTGGAACATAGGGTGTAATATTTCGAGAAGGTAGGGACGACGCCTAAAAAATCTATCACTTGCTAGACCCCTGGCTGCCCCATGACCCTTGGTATAGAAGCTCCACACCTTTCTGAAGAGATCTCACATCAGCCATTCTTCTGGTAATCCGAATTCATCCTCATAGTCCCTCAATTCTGAAGGCCACCCGCTGCCCCGCCCCACCTCCTTCCCAAAATGCTCAAGCGTCCATAACGCCAGTAACCCCTAGCAAAGGGCAAAATAAAGCGAGAAAGGGGTGCGCCTGCATAATCTCATCTGAAGTCAGGAGAGTGTTTCCGCTAGGCCTGGTTCCTCCCCTCCCCTTTCTTAGAATCAGGGAGACAGTGCAGGACTCTGATCATCTGCCATCCCCAACTCCACGTGGCGGACTACAAGCCCCATAATGCCTCGGGGCCAGGCTACAACAAGCTCTGCCCTGGGTACTCGGGTCCCCCTCCTCTCTCCCTCGCATCCCCACATCCCTCGCCGGCCGCTGGGGCTGAGGGCCGGGCTATGCGGCTGCGAGGAGCCGAGGCTGCGGGCGCGCGTCCCTGCGGCGGCGGCGTCCCCGGGGCCGGTGCCCCGT